AGGCCTTGAGATATGAAGATATTGTGTTCACTGCACTAGTACCGCAAAGTACACAGCATGTCATGTGTTATGATGTAGTGGTTGGCACACATGCACACACGCACGCGTGCACACACACACGCACGCGTGCACACACACACGCACGCGCACACACACACGCACGCGCACACACACACACACACCTTGATGAAAGCCGGATGGACTGCAACAAAGAGTTACTCTAGCAAACACTGATAGAAAGTACCTTTGCTGATCATTCCGCTGTATGGCAAGATACTGCTGAATGTCGAGGCTGAGCTGCGAGTCGGATAGTCGACGCAATACATCGTTCTTCACTGTCGCCGGGTGGAGTGCCTCAGCAAGCTGCCAGGCCGCACCCAACACCTGCTCAGCTTCAGTAAACGACTTAACGGCAAAACATACGGGCGCAAATATCCAAAAACACACACACGCACACACATGAGCACATGCACAGTACATCAACACTCAAAAACGCACTGTCCTACAAGCAAACCAGGCCATTCAAAAAACAAACCAAACTTGTCTGAACAGACGTGTAAATCTGCATACCAACGGCCACTAATACTTAGTAGGCAGCACATGGGCAAACCTTCATGCACAAACAGAAGGAAAAGATCCATGCTATGTGATCAAGTCAAACAGTCCATTGAGTCTAGAGTCCTGACCTTGGCTTGTTGAAGGTGATTGGCCTTGACTAGCAGAACACTGAGCAAGTGATCGCCATGCCGCTCCTTATTCCACCACTGTCAATAACAAACACAAGTGAACACACACACACACGGTCAAATGTATACCTCAGACCTCAGACATGCCCATCGCGGGAGCGATGATAGCGAACAGCTATGTTAGACATAGCAACTTGTGCTGGGATTACACCATTCAACAGCTTGCAAGGCTGATGAATTGACCGCCACTATTTTTAGCCTGGTATCCACCACACAGCTGTTTGAAGTGACTTTTTCTGGCCACACACACACACACACACACACACACGGTCAAATGTACACACACCCACACGGTCAAATGTACACACACACACACGGTCAAATGTACACACACACACACACGCACAACACACACACAACACACACACACGCGCGCGCGCGCGCGTGCACGCACACACACACACACACACAAATGCATGCACATAATCTAAATGAAGGAAGATGTCGCTGCTGCCATACTTCTTATACATGTAAGTGCGGAAGTAACATAGTCTTCATACTGGTTAAACAAGTGGAAGCACAGGCCTCTATGGCGAGGGGGGGGGGGGGGGGAGCTCCCTACCATAAAACAACTTTATTCCCGTAGCTATGCAGAAGACGTTACTTCAGTAACGTCTGGCGCTAGCCAGTTGTTTGTTTGTTTGTGTCACGCCTGGCGCTATCCCGTATCTGACGGCAAAAAATCATAGGGATGTTATAAATTTTTCAATTCTCCTTTTTTTTCAGGCATATCCTGGGATTCGAACCCGCACTATCGCCCTACATGCATTCCCCCATACACTTCGCATTCATACCCATTCTTCCAAGTTGCTTCACGTTATGATCTTGCGTTTGAAAGCCCTATTTGAATATTGCGGACAGCTGTATGTGGCCAGCTGTGTTTGATGGTACGGTACGGGAGACGGTGTCGTATTACCCTCGATCGTACCTGTCCCGTACCTATCCCTACCGTACCGTACCAGCAAAGACGGCTGGCCACAATCACAATGCATATTCAAATAGGGCTTTCAAATGCAAGATCATAATGTGAAGCAACTTGGAAGAATTAGTATGTATGCGAAGTGTATCGGGGGATGCATGCAGGGCGCGATAGTGCGGGTTTGAATCCCAGGTTATGTCTTACAAAAAAAAGGAATTTTTTAAAGACCGGGGGATGCATGCAGGGCGCGATAGTGCGGGTTCGAATCCCAGGTTATGTCTTAAAAAAAGGAATTTTTCAAAGACCCGGGATGCATGCAGGGCGCGATAGTGCGGGTTCGAATCCCAGGTTATGTGTTTACAAAAAAGGAATTTTTTAAAGAATTTATAACATCCCTATGCTTTTTTTTGTCTAGGTCATCAAGGCAAAAAAGCATAGCGTAGGGCCCTGAGCTTCCAAGCTCTCTCGTTAAAAAGCCAAACCTAGCAGAAGTCTAAACTCCCTTTCAGCAAACAATGGAATGGTGTCAAGTTAGTGAGCAACTACATACACCGTAAGTCACAAATGACGAGTATCTGCTACAGGTACCACAGCAGCACATGCAACTGGAGCTCTAGCCCTCACCTCGCTCAGACCAAAACGAGCGTGACCAGTAGGCCAGCGTTGCAGATCCTGCAGAAGTGATCGCATCTCTTCGACCTTGGAGCTAGACAGCAGCTGACACTCCTGGTTGAGAGCACTGTGACGATCTGCCCACGGGTAACGGCCACTGTCTGCTCAAGAACATGATGAGAACAAACAAGAGGAGAGAGATACCAGAGAATCAGAACACCAAACAGAGCCACGCTACCCTCCATTTCCTGTTCATTCAAATACATATACTTGAAATACCCTACACACACACACCTGAATACTAGTATTAAAAGTGGAAAGTTCAAGTTCAAAGGTTCAAGCCAGGAGCAGTTAAATACCAGTATTTTACTACTCCCTGATTCAAAGCATCAGACACGCATGTGCATGCCAAAACTGATCAGATGGCGACAAAGACGGCTGCTTTGGGCCGGGTTCCACTGCAGCTCCGCTGCTCCGAGGCACTTGGCTGCATGCAGTGGAGCAGCGCGGTTCCACTGACACTCGCAATTCGCGGTACCGCGGCTGTGCTCCACGTTTTTTGATGACGCTTTACCTGCCTGCGGTCACAAAATGAAAAAAAACCTCGTGTTCTGGCAAGCGGAACGAATATTATTATACTTTTCGACGGGTTCGCGTACCGGGCAGGTCAAGAACAAGGAGTCGTACAACTCCCTGGTCGAGAACCACCTTTCCTCTTCCGTGGGACGCCACCACCCCATGATCAGGCGTCAGATGCGGCTCCTTAATGGTGGGGGAGGATAGATCAGATCCACCAACCATAGGCCAAAGGCCTACAGTGCATTTCAAAACTATATACGCGTAGGGTTTTTGAAATATTTCAAATTTGGCTGGAACTTTTTGAGAATAGCTTTTGGAATATTGCTCAGGATCGCTCCACAATTACTCTCATATAGTTTCTAAAGGATTGGAAAACAGACGCCCAATTTGGAAAAATTTATGCACAAAGTGATCACAGATTTTATGTGGTATAGATGCTGGCATAACGGTTTTTGCCTAGGGCGCGTTTGGTTGGTACGAACTAGAACAGGATTCACCAGAACAGCGCGTTTGGTTGGGACTGCACCTGTTCTGGGTCGGCCAGAACATGTTCTGCTTGCTCCGGCCTCCAGGCCGGAGCAGACCGAGCAGTTTCACTTTTTCACAGTGAAACCTGGCGGGAACATCGATTTTGGTCCCAAATGATCACGTGCATACGCTTTTTGGGTTGGACTCGTTGTACCGTACAAAGTGACCATGGTGACCCATACACATTTTGAAGAATGCACCAAGTTTGGCACATTTTTCCACAAAAATGTGCTCTGTTTCTGGAGTACCGTTTGGTTGGCATGAGGCTGCTCCATCTGCACCAGCTGTTCGATCCTGTTCTAGATCGTACCAACCAAACGCACCCCTAGGTACGCGTCTATAGTTTTGAAATGGACTGTAAATCCCATTTGCCACATCCATGTTTTACTCATGCCAGGCCACGAGTTCCCAAATAACTGTGGGTCGCAGCACGGTTGGAAAACTCCTTCCGTTTCCAAGCAGGACTTGAACCTGGTACCTCTCGTTTCTCAATCATGGTCTTAGACCAACCCACTGTGCCTGCGCAGCTGCCTGCACTGCGGAACGAATGAAAATTTGAATTTTAAAATTCTCGCGTACAAAGCAATGCAACGTACGGGAAACAGGTCGAGGCGCAATCGCGGCTCGCAGTTTTTGATCAAGAATCGTAGCGAAAGCTCGCGGTGAGCCGCGGCCTCGCTGCTCCAGCTCGAGCCGCGGTCACTATGGTAATGATGACGTTTCAAGCCGCGGATGACGGGCAGTGGAGCAGCGGAGCCGCAGAGGAACCCGGCCCTTTTTTGAGCTAATTTAGGGATGGGCAAAACCTGTGGCAGCAGTCAGTGTCCCGGCAATGTCAGTGGAAATGAGTGACCACCTTTAGAAGAATAGGGACAGGTTGGCAAGGCACAGATCGATTTTCGGAAATAAATCTCATATTCTCTTGCAGACGAAGAATACTCGCATATCCGGCCATTCGTTCAACAGGTATTCGTTCGTGGAATGTCCTGTTGGTTCCAATGGAGACAAAAGAACTCCAATGGCAAACACAGTGGCGGCGGCCTGGGTAGCAGCTACATACCCACCATCAAACTCTACCGACCGGGGCATGCACAACCCGGGCCATGCACAACCCGGGGCATGCACAACCCGGGCCATGCACAACCCGGGCCATGCACAACCCGGGGCATGCACAACCCGGGCATGCACAACCTGAGGCATGCACAACTCGGGCCATGCACAACCCGGGCCATGCACAACCCGGGCATGCACAACCTGAGGCATGCATGGCCCTTGAAAAACAAATCTGCACACGCAAGCAACAGCTGAGATTTAGTGGAGACGTTCTTCAGGCAGTGTGAACAAGAAACTCACCGTGCGAGGATTTCCTGGCAGGTGCATCAGCAGCTCTTTCAGCCGAATTGCAGTCATCCTCCTACAACAGAGCATTCACAAAGAGCCTCAATCAACCTCTATATACATGCACACTGGTGTAGTTAAAAAGTCGGTGAGGAGACAAGAAACCTACTATCGATAGAAATAATTATAGTGAACGCATTCATACCACGACACCAGAGGAACAATTTTCACTTCATGGTACTATATGGGGAATTGTGTGCTGCTCCCTACATGGGAGCTTACGCTTTTCCTGCCGACTTGAATTCTCACTTGACTGACTCACAACTGCCATCCAGAGGACACGAGAAGTCCATCGATACCGTCCACTCGGCAAACCTACAAGAAAGCATCACTCCCTGCTCTTCACATACTTTGTGACATAGTACCATATACCGGTAATATTTCCTTTGTAGTCCAACTTAAAGTGTGATGACGATTTCTGATGATAGTCATTTGAAAACGACGTTAAAATCCATACATAATTGTTCCTCTGGTGCCGTGGTATGAATGCGTTCACTACACTTCTATCGACACTGGTGTAGCACAATCATGTCATGGATCTACCTTCCATACTCGGTGAAGGTGGCGGACATTAAATCTTCCTCAGCACACCGCTACATGCACCTCAGAGACATGTAAGATCTGCAAAAAAAGGCAGTAACAATGCGATCATTGAAAAGAGCAAAAAGGCACCGAGACTGACTAACCATTTCGACTTCTCGACGTGTTGAAGCAAGCGCATGCTTTTGCAGCAGATGCATGTAGCTGTCGGAGTACCTGCTTGACTGACACACTACCCTGTAGTGTATGGCATACGAAAGGAGGACACCAGCGCAGACAACTGCTCGAATCAATGACTTCACAGTGCATGATGATGTTGATGACAGGTACATGCTCCTGAAAATGTAAAAAAAACCTAACACAGGGTTCGCAGCCAACCAAGCATACAAAATTCCAAACTTTTTCCAAACCAATTTCAAGAATTTCCAAACCCACTCGTGCAGGAAAAATAAATTATAAATCTCTTCTGCACGACTGTCTTCTCCACTACGAGTACAACCAGGGAGTAGTAAAATCCTCCCTGTTATCACTACCATCGACAAATTCAACAAGGTGCATTGCGATGACATCGCCTTCAGCAGCTAGAGCCCCCAAAATTTGCAGGGGAATTCATACGACGAGAGTTCCGCTCCGTAAGTTCAAATCCGCCTCCAGTGGGGGTTTCAATGGAATGTTTACATAGCTGGTGGCCGTCTCAGCACAAAGGACGGTTTCATCCTCGCCAGCAAACTCATCTGAGCGCGAAAGGACCTTGCCATCCTGCTGTCCCGACTTCAAAGAATCAAACTCAAAGTCAAGCGCGAGCGCCAGTAACGAAAAACGGCCAAATAAAAGTCATCACCGGCCGCGCGCTTGAGCTAGCCGCGTTGACATGACTAAACGAGACTCGTACATGCAGTGAACACCACGTATCGCCTGCGTGTCTTCTGTAGTCATCGCGGTAGTCAAAACGGCCACTTGAACTGCAGGAGCGCAGCACATCCGGGGCTAAAAAATCGAAATTCAAAACTTTTTCCAAACTTTTTCAAAAGGAGCGCCTTTTCAAAACTTTTTCCAGACCTGGAAAATTGAATTACAAAATCCAAACTTTTTCCAGACTTCCAAACTTCGCTGCGAACCCTGCTAACAAATGAAATCTGAGAAATTTATGGACATCACACAACTGCATCAAAATCTGACTCAAGCTAATTCACAACTCAAAACCACTTGAAAGTGCCCAAGCAAGACCGGTCTTACGTGGCAAAGCGGTGTAGAGCAGCAGCAGCGCGGCGAGAAGACGCATGCTTCAGAAACTCCAAGCAGACCTGCAAGGGATCAATGCACACATGCACATACAGGTGCACACACACACACACACACACACACACACACATGGGCACGTGCACACACACACACACACACACACACACACACACAGAGTAAAACCTGTGTTACGCAATCGTGCCAATAAGAAAACACCTGTATTTAGAGACCACCTGCAATGAGAGACCGGTCATCTCAGGACTCTGACCATGCATCAACACACATTGCAACTTGTGAGGAGAGACCACCTGTCTATAAACCGATTAAGACCAATTTTCTCTGCACAATGAGGGTGGTCCCCACAAGTAATCCCAGGCTGGATGATGTATCCTAAGAAATAGCCATAAAAAATAAAGTTACAGATGAATTGAAGCAGGAAAGAGAGTGTGCTATGCAGCACAATCACTACAAGATGAGTTGTGCACATTTGCCCATTCCTGCACAAAGCACAAGACGTGCAAACAATTCACAGCTGCCCTTACATCGAGTAGGTACATGACATGCTCCTTGCTCTCCGCTTGGTACCACGTAACCCAGAAGGACGGCGAGACGGGCATACCAAGAACGGTATTGTGCACGGCATTACATGCGCTCACGCGCCAGTTCATCTCTACGGCATCCACCGCGGTCGGGTCGGTGGAGGAAGCCGCCACACTGCCCGTCGGTGACGGTTGACCAACCGATCGCAGGCCACGGTGCGCGGTGAGCGCAAGGCTGTCCTCGAGGTCGCATTTGTAAGGCGGTGGCACTGCCAGTGCTCCACCACTAGCATCCATCAGCACAGAATCCATGCCCTGCAGAGTAGCAATACACAACATCATAGTCATGATAGCAACGACTTTTATCCATGCCCTGCAGGCAGTAATACACAACATCATAGTCATGATAGCACAGACTGTTCACAGTAAGACCAGGTATTTTAACGTTAATTAAAGTTAACGATGTCAGGATTTTTGCGGGGTAACGAGGTGGAATTCTTGCGAATTCTGTCTCAAAACCGGCAAATGACTGTACATGTACATATCGTTTTGCACACGACGACTTTTATGTTAACGATTCTTTCAAATTCGTTAACTCGTTAGAATTAAATGTTGGTTAACATTCCAGGTCTTACAGTACTCAATGTCCCTAGCGTATGCCTACAACACAACACTCATACCTCAGTTATCCGGACAACGACATTATGGGCAATTTGGTCTACCGGGCAACCTTTGGGCAAGTTTTGGTGGGAACATTACAAATCTGTTGTCACATTTCATGGAAATAGTGACGGCATATGCAATATGCATGTCCTTTCCCCATCAAAACGTACGTGAGCATACGCAATATCCATGTCCTTTCCCCATCAAAACGTACGTGAGCATAAGCAATATCCATGTCCTTTCCCCATCAAAACACACGTGATTCAGAGCTAGGGACACTGCCCCCGGTCCCGGACTGCCTGGATAAGAGGTACATGTGGAGTGTAGCCATTTACTTTACTTGCTGCTCTCCATGATTGCATCATATCATGCAAGTATGGACCTAAAATACATTACGTGAAGATGCGATGACACCAAGACAGCCACCGTCCATTGACCAGCATAATATAAAGCCCATTGGCGTGTTCTAGGAAAGAGCACCTTGATCATAGCAGCTACACCCACCCCCCAACAAACTGCCTCGGAATGAGAACATGTGAATGAAGGTAGAGATGCATTAGCATGAGCATTGCACAATGGTGGCCTAACCCAGTACCTTTAGCATGCCATATCTCCGACATTGCTCGGTCTTCATCACCAGCCTGGCAACATGATTGCCAGCACCACCAGATGAGAGCGCTACAGATACTTTGCCATTCGGTGGCTCAGTAACCTGCAGACAAACGAGTAGGTTGGCTTCCAGGATCTTCCTGTCGATAATGCAGAAAATATCATCATCGGCGACATCCGAGATCATCTCCTTGGCACGCTGCAGCATAACGCAGGCCTGTGCAAACTTGCCTTCCTGGAACAGCAGCTGCCCGAGCTCAGAGCAGACCTGACAGCGAATACTGAGTGCAGATATAGCATCACCGCCCACTGCCTGCACAGCGGAGAGCTCCAACACCGGCAAGAACAGTGGCCTGCCATCCAGGGCATCTTTGTCGTCCACTGCACACTGCAGGATGTTGATGGCGTACGGCAGGAGGGGCTGCAGGACGTTCTCCATCTGATTCGAGTTGGCAATCACTGAATCCTGCACTTTGGCTGAGCGGGACAAGTGCACAGTGACACTTTTCACCACCCATCGAGCAAATAAGATGTGGACCATTGCCGCAGCCGGGGACTGCTCCTTGAGAGAGGTGTTGGGCAGGAGCTGGATCTGTGCTTTCGTCTGTAGCGCCTCCAGAAGGCCGACCTGGCTGGCAAAGGACACGGAGGCCATCAGCCGCATCAGATTCCACTTGAGCCAGCCGGCTACGTACAGCGCCAGCTGACGAAGCATCGGAGCACATGCCAGCTGTGATTCCTGCAGAGCCTGCAATCAAGCGGAAGATAAAAGGCACCAACAACAATGAACTCAACAACAACAACAACAACAACAACAACAACAACAACAACAACACCAACACCAACACCAACAAAAACAAAAACAACAACAACAACAACAACAACAACAACAACAACAACAACAACAACAACAACAACAACAACAACAACAACAACAACAGCAGCAGCAGCAGCAGCAGCAGCAGCAGCAGCAGCAGCAGCAACAACAGCTAACTGATGAAAAGTAATGAACTATCCTTGCACGACATAAGCTTTCTTTCTGAACTGATAAAATGCAGTCGCATGCACACATACACACAAATATCAAACTCAAGGTGGCATCCTCAGCTACAACGTAGGCTACGGGATATACCAGTAGCAGACAATCCATCCTCTGGCACAAAGCTCATCGATACAGCCTGAGGAACCAGCCACTAATGGCGCCAGTCTACAGCTCACTGTGCCCGTGAAATGAATACTTAGTATTCAAATCCAAGTTCATGAAACCTTATAACCATTAAAGATCTCACCTCTGATGAAATTTTCTCCATGAAGGCCGATATCATTTGACATGCTGAGGGATCGCCTGCAACATCAAGCACAGCCACAGAGACATAAAACAAGTAGCATATAAGGCACCGGAATCCCTCTTATTCGTCCACCGGCTTTTGATCAGTACTGTTTCCGTATTCTTGCATCTGAAGACATTGACTAACATAACCTCCCCCCCCCCCCCTTTATTGCAACATACTTAAAACATGACACAAATGAACGTGCGTGACATTGCGAGGTCAACATATCGGCATTATTCTAATATTTTTGGGTATACATGATTTCATATTGCCTAAAAAGTAAGATTTAGAATGTCGGAGTGCGGTGAATTTCAGTAAGGAGATGGGAGAACATGGATCATCATAACACTACATTGTATACCATCCATATCATATCAAATTCTAAATATTTTGCCTAGTTTGAGGGAAAGACACAAACGGGAAAAATCTGAAGAAAAAATTCTAAATAATGCAAAATGCTAGGAATAACTCGAGCTGCTGATTGACCTGCAAAACAGCGGATAAAGTAGCAAGATATTACTTCACTCCATGAGAAAGCACGAAAACTGGTGTGTGAAATCTTTGAATTCCACTGCTTGAGGTTGAGTGCTTGAAGTATGTCGTTTTTCTAGCTAAGTTTTTTTTGTCTCCGAGAAAGTTGCTCAATACAGCAAAACCTAATTTATTATAGCACTGCATCACACGCCGTAAAAATCATGAAAACAGGACGTACTATTAGGAGAACTATCCAGTAATGTCAAGTGCTTCACGACCAGTGCGTGGTCAAACAGAAATTCGAACCAAGTATGAGGCAGATCTCCATACTTCTTGCGCACAGTCTCCGGATCCATCATGGACTGCGCTGGGTAAAACAAAGAATGGATTCACCGAGAGGTGACTCGAGAGGTCGATAAACAATGCTGCTAGAAATTTAGCTTTGATCACCGTCACAGGCACCGTAGATAATACTCGGAAATCAATTCATTCCTCTTTGAAAATAATCCCAGAAATTTTAGATTTAGCTGATCGAATGAGCGACGATCCACAGTCAGCTTTGTTCGTGAACTACAGTACTAGTGATTACTTCAAACAGCACGTTCAGTCACAAAATAAATTCCCCGTCGATGTGGTCTACATGAACAAGCTGACTTCACTGACTTGATGATGAAAAATTATTAGAAATACAACAGGCCAGGTAGATCCTCGACCAGAACTCGCCACCAAAGACGTGAAGCTGCACTGGCATTCAAACTCAAATGGATCAGCCAAATAAAATTTCAAGGTCAAATGGATCGATGGATTCGTATGAAAATGATTTTTAGTTTTAGTTTTTTTGCCAAACATCGAACGTTTCGAACATGCCATGCGAACATAAAAAAAAAGCTAGCTCTGCATGCATACAGCTAGATCTAACTACGTACCGGTTCGTACAGTGCTGGCAACTGAAATCCAACACCCCTATAGCCCTAGCGATGCGCTAGCGCTTTACCAGCGTTAGCGATTCGTACGAGACGCTAGGGGGTCGGATTTCAGTTGCCAGCACTGTACGAGTAGTATGCATGATCGATCATGAGCTAGAGCGACAAAACTGTCAAAATGCAATAGCCCCTATTTTACTACATTACTGTGCTGCAGTTGCAAATTTTAATATAGATCTACGCTTTGATAACTCTGCAAGCGTTGATCGCCTGTCGATTTTTCATTCTTCAAATGGTTCCTTGTTGGCCGCTGAGCTAGGAGGACCGACTCAGTGGCTGTATCTGTGAATCACATTGTTACAGCAATGTTCCTGAAAAAGAAAGAAAATTGACGGAGGGAAGTCATTGGTACGTGGAACATGATAGTCTGGAGGGGAACGGTCAACCGTGCTGTGATAACTCCCAACTAACTCACTAACTGTCAGTCTCAAAATTAGTAGGTGCCCCGCACATGTACCCGTGTGCAAAAACGTGACGGAAAAATGCTGTTGTTTCAAAGTGATACATGTCTATGAGCCGAGAGTGTGCTATTGAAATCGGGCACGATGCTTCTAACTTCATTTTTCGGACGCTGCGGCACCTCGTAGTCAGCCAACAACACCAGGAGCTACACCAGCGGCAGCAGCAGTAGCGGCAATAGCAGCAATGTCCGAATCCCTTGCCCAGAAGCCAAGGCGTCGATTTGCAGCTCTGTTCTGCACGGGAAAGGGGACAAGACGCGTGCAGCACGCACAACCAGAGCCTAGTGGCGGCACGCAGAGAAAGTTTGTCTGCGCTAAAGTGAGCCGGCGTCGTGTGCCGCGTAAACCCACGGCTCGCCGGGTAGAGGTAGTTCCTGGCGAGGAGTATTCATTAGATTGTGGGGAAGATGACTGCAATGCGACCCGTGTGGAGACAAGCGCAGCAGCCATCACACCAGCACTCTCGTTGCTACTGGGTTCCGGTGGTGGTGGTGGTGGGAGGAGGATGTCTGCCGTCACGGCGCGTGCATCTGTGCTCAGCCATCAGTCTATGAAGTACAGACTGGCTGGTAACTGCTGGAGGACAAGCTGCCTAGGCAGTGGCAGCAGTCCCATGTCGGTCTGGCCACAACCAGCGTTGCCATGCCCACGCTATGGTAGTAGCCATGGAAACGCAAGCGTGGCTCTGTTAGATATGTCACAATGCATGCAGCAGCAGCGGCGACATCTCTCGACGCAAGTGAAGGCCGCAACACCGTCAGCAGGGCAGTCACCACGACGTCCACAACGTGCACGCACCACCACGTCGCCATACCAGTTTGATGACATAGTCCTGCCGGCCACCACTGCGTCGATTCCGACGTCGCGCCCACCCAGGGAGCAGCAGCCTAGGTCGCACTCCCAGATCACCAGCCAGGCCAAGGATGCAGTGGCAACTGGTGGCCAGCGGCACCAAGGCCAATTTGCGCTAGCCTCGTTAGATACTTCTGCTCACACGGTGTACGGAAGCGGACTGACTCCTGTCATGGTCCCAGAGTCAAAGCAAGTCCAAGATGCGGACCCGTATCGCCGTGATCCCCGCCGGAAGATGGATGCCCTCTTGTTCAGCGCGCAGGAGAGCTTGAGTGGTGTGCGTGTAGATAATGCAGTGTCAGTGCTCATGGCCCCGTCTCCTCGCTCTATGCAGCGCCAATTCACATCACCAAAGGCGGCGGCGGTGGCCTTGCCACAAGTGCATATGGTAACTGCTAGTGGAGGTCATACTGTGGATGGGTGTGGAGCAGCCTCTGCACAGGTTGTGGTCCGGGACCACTCGACTAGCACGGCAGAGTTTCTACTGAGACGATGCCGTCGCCAGTGGCGCACCACCCCTGCCAGTGCCGGCCATGTACAGCTGATGCCAGTCACATGCACACTCTTGCCTGGTCGATCTACTGCACCGACATCTAGCTCTGTTTCAAGTACTACGGTTATGCCTTGCCGTGGACACGACGTACCACTTTACTCACTTGCCGCAAGACCATGGGGGTGGAAACGTATCTTCCTTCAACGGCTAATTGCATCGGCTAGGCTATATCAGCCATCGGTGTCCAGCAGGCAGGTGCCTGGCTTGCTGTTTGATACTAACATTGACCTGCAGAGATTTCGTCAGCTGGAAAGCTATGCTTTGCTCTCCCTGGCAGCAGCTGCTGAGCTGTCACCTCGTATACGTGGCCAGTGGTTAGCACTGGTAGACTTGCCGCTGAATGAGCCGTTGTTGGTTTCAAGCGAATGCCTCGCTGCCCGGCTGGCTATGGCGATGACAGGTATTCTGCGTGAGGCGTCTCTATTCGAGGCACCCATTCCAGCTTCCACTGGACGTGCATTGACCCAAGCTCTGCTTCGCTGCGTGACGGCTGCTGCAGATGATACCGCCTCCTCAGTCCGCACTGTCCTGCTGCGCAAATGTGCATCGTCAAGCGGACTTCGCTGGGCTAGGTCTCCGAAGCCGTCAGCTCCGGTGGAGGTGATCCATGGTGTGTCTCAGCAATCAGACTGCCGTAATAGCATCAATGTAAGTTCGCGTAGTTGCCCATCGTAATGTCTGTGTGCTTTTATTGGTGAAGTGTACAGTCATTGTACAGCTGTGATATCTGGCATCATGAAAGAAGCAGAGGTGCTTTCATTACGAAAAGTCAAAAACTGCTTGTAGAGTTTGTACGTAATGCTACTGCGAGGGCCATCCAGCTCTGGGGCTGTACTAAGCTTATAGTTGCTACTAGGTGTGTGCTGCTAGTCAGGACTGCAATTTACTCAAGTAAAGTCTGTGAATGCTTGCAGCATCTATTGATATCGCAGTGCTGTGTGTTTTGTCCTGTGTAGATATTACCAGTCACACGCCAGAAAGAACACAGTCCTCATAAGCTATCGGCCCAGGAACCAGCCGACATGTTTGACTTCCACTGCTACCCGGAGTTGTTTGCTCTGTTGCCCGTTGTGCACTCGATGAAGCAGCAGTCCTCGCTGCTGGCAAGCGGTGTGGAGAGATTTGCCAGCTGCACAATAGCAGATGATGGCTGTATTTGTTTGCAAGAAACTGGGAGTGACGCCGACTGCAGTGTTCCGCACATGCATCCGCCGGGACATTTCCTGTTTGTAGCCGTTCCGCAGATGTCAGATGAGGTGGATTTGAGCTCCCTTACTGCTGTGATGGAGCAGTTCTACTCATGTCTTGGCATGGCCAAGCATGCTGGTCTCCACCGCGTTGTGTATCGTCTATTGACAAAGCAGCCGGGCAATCCTGTTTCCACATGTGCCGACAATACCAATGAGATACACTGTCTCCTCCTGTGGATTGCGGCCTCCGTGCAAGATCTCCAGCTTGTCGTGCTGTGCCCAGACGAGGAAGATACACAGCGCCTTGCTCGAATCGGCAGAATGTCCCGCAGCAAACGCGTCTCAGTCAGGGAGCTAACAAGTATCATTGTCAGCACGTTTGGTGAGAATCAGTATGCCGCGCTGCTTCCACGAGTGCTGGCTAAGCTGGAGCGGCGAGCGCTAGCGTGAACTAGGTGTCCTGAACGGGACTTCTCTTGAAATCTGAAGGTCCATGTGAAGTATAGATTCAAAGAATTGGGTTGCTGAAGTTATTTGAAGTACATGTACGAGCAAACAGTCGACATGCTGGTCTTACCACTCAACATGACTTGAGTTCTAACAAACTGTAATGATGCCCTAGCTGGCCTAGAGCTAGGCTGCTGTGATATTGGTAACCCGTCTACTGCCCCAGTATTGGCTCTGTACCTGACACTTCTCAGACTGTCAATGTGCCATTGCAATTTGCATGTATGTACGAGGCGACGGCGTTATCACTTGAAAACCAAATAACTAACTTCCACCGGGTGACATGATGGGATGTTTGTCATATCCATGACCAGTATGGGTTCCTGGGTGCCCGGAACCCCCTTTTTTCGCTCAAAATGCAGGATTTTGCTTCATTTTTTGAAAATTTTCCGAACCCCCCCCCCCCCCCTTCAAGGGCACCAGCGCACGCGCCTGCATGACCGTGATTGAGGTATCCATCGGCGGTAGGAAGAGTACACAGCCTAGGCAATGGATTTGTACTCTTTTGACACTGGTATGTGCTGCACTCTTTATGTTCATGCTACAATTTGGCCAGCAAACATGATACGAATGCTGCTTGACATACTCCGTACAAACACAGTGAACTGGTCCAGGGCGTTAGCTCACTGGCGAAGGTCGACATTGGGGCTGGCAAGTCGCCTATAAAAACCCTCCACCCGCTCGCTTCTCCTCGCCCTCTCCATCATTGGCAGCAACAAATTACTTTCCAACTACATGTACTATCTCTTTTCTCTCTCTTCCACTACTAAAATTCAAAAATATTTTAGAAAGAAGACGAAAAAATCCTTCGCTAGTACAGTAGTGCTAAGGGTTTCCAGATTATTCGCAAGAAATTGCGTATTATTCCCGTAGCTATGCAGAAGACGTTACTTCAGTAACGTCTGGCGCTAGCCAGGGTCCACACAGCTTTAATTTGGTGTTTGTGTGTTTGTGTCACGCCTGGAGCTACCGTATCTGTCCCGTATCTGTGATTTGGTGTTTGTTTGTTTGTGTGTGTCGGTTTGTGTCACGCCTGGAGCTACCGTATCTGTCCAATAAAAAAATTATTATGTGATTTGGTGTTTGTTTGTTTGTGTGCTTGTGTCACGCCTGGAGCTACCGTATCTGTCCCGTATCTGTGACTACAAAGGTTCTACAGGATTATACATAACAGCTGGCCACAATATTCGTCGTATTATGTATACGACTACCTGATATAGAGGGAGATTTGGAAAGAAAATTAATAGGGAGACGAGGAGGAAAGAAAATTAGAATGGACGCTAGTTGCGGAATAGGTGATAGGATGAATCAGCAAAAACAGACTTTAGAAGACAGATACTTTGGAAGAGAGATCCCGTCGTCTCCAAAGTAAGCGTGAACGGGCGATTCAGCGCCGGTCACAGGAAACGTCGGAAGAGAGATCCTGTCGACTCCAGAACGCCCGTGATCGGCAGAGTCAGCGCCGGTCCCAGGAAACGTCAGGACAGACGCAGAATCGACTCCAAAATAAGCGTGAACGGGCGATTCAGCGCCGGTCACAGGAAACGTCGGAAGAGAGATACCGTCGAGTCCAGAACGCCCGTGATCGGCAGAGTACAAGAGTCAGCGCCGGTCACAGGAAACGTCAGGACAGACATCTCGTCGACTCCAAAATAAGCGTGAACGGGCGATTTAGCGCCGGTCACAGGAAACGTCGGAAGAGAGATCCCGTCGAGGCCAGAACGCCCGTGATCGGAAAACGTCAGGACAGACATCAGGACATTTTTTGCCTAGCTCATCGTACATGTTACTAGAACTGATGGAAATGTTTTTTTCCGTTAAGGTGGCTCCTACCCCTCGGGTCCAAATTTTTTTTGTTTGAAACGTGGCTACAAACGATTGTACTTTGTTCCGTAGGATATCTAGTGTACGGAGACAAAATTTTATCAAGTTCTACCGGCCGGTTTCACTCGGGGGAGGGGCCAAACATAGCATACTCACAATTGCCAATTTAGGCCAAAAAACACCGGAAAACCACTTTTTTGGCCGTAGCACTCGTAGTTACCCCTTTTTTCTTGATGTCCAACATCAGGTCAGTAGTATACTTGCTAAATACCAGCATAAGCTTTAGAAGTGGGTAGAATTCTGCTAGAAGGTGACCTTTTTCTCTTTTCGGAATCATCCCATTTCAGCGCACACGTCCCACATATTAGCCCCGCCCACAAGTATTTGACACTGGACTTGCCCTGTATTCGATGGTTATGCTATCATAACCTAATAATGGTACATGTACTGTGTAGCAAGTTTGAGCAGGTTCTACCGAAGGTAACTTTTGAAATAAAACTTTGAAGTGTCAAGTGATGCCATATTTTCAAGAATCAGCACATTGCACTGGGACATTGTCCAACGCCTTAGAACCCCTGACTCCACCGTATGACAGATACGTATCTTGCAATAATTGATTGCAACATCTTCCGAACATAGTAGTAGAGCTTTGGATCAAGTTTTAGCAGTTTCCACCGAAGCTAACTACCAAAATAAAACTTTGAAGTCGCCCACATACTAAATGCAATAGCTGAGCACGTGCATTGAGTGTATGGTCTAAAGGTTTTCACAACTAGCTCCAATGCGGCAGATACGTGTCTTACATTACTTGATTGCAACATCTTCAGAACATAGTAGTAGAGCTTTGGATCAAGTTTAGACAGTTTCTACCGAAGCTAACTACCAAAATAGAACTTTGAAGTCGCCCACATACTAAATGCCATACATGTAGCTGAGCATGTGTATTGAGTGTACATGTATGCTCTAGTGTTTTTCACAACTTTCTCCAACATGAAGCCAATACTGATGTGGAATTTTTTGACTGCTTTGTCCAAAACACAGTGCTGAAGCAATGCACATTGGGCACTTTCTACTGGTAATGCAATTATTATTATACATTACAGTGTTTGCTGCCAACATAGCAAGCAATACTGCTATACTAAATGCGTATTCCATTGGGTACGGTCCAATGGCTTTTCACTTCGCATCTAGCCACTGTTCTTCGTGCATTACTTGAATGCTTAGTCTCCATGGTAATGAAGCTAAGAGCCACACTGGAGAAGTTTCTACTGAAGCTAACTACCAAAAATATAAAATTTCCAAGATGCTACTATTACATAAAGTAGCTGTGTGCAATGCCACTCTGTTGAACACAGTAAGCAAAATTGAGTCACTAAAACCCTATTTGCCAGATATAAGCTGTTGAGACTGATAGCAGCTGAGCTGTATGATCTGATATGGATGGCGGTTCCACACTGACCAGCACATGTACACGTGCACAGGCAGAAGAACATACAAGTAATACACCTAACGTTACTTCGAAGTCCATCATGTAAATACATGTACAAGCGTATATACAAGCATCACTCCTGTTCTCCACAACCTGCAGTCCTGGGCCACTCCAGCTGGTCAGAGTGCAATAATTTCTGCAGCAGGCTTGACTTGGAAAGCTAATCACAACTGCCATGGCTGCAACATGAGTATTACCAGCGCTTTTACAGCGCTACTTGTATTATATTATTGTCAATCCACTGTGGTGCATGGCACTCGTTTTCAACAACCGAGTTTATGTCATTAGTTGCATATCCAACGCCAATAGAAAAAAGAAGGGGTGGGGCAAATTACCACGGTTCAACACTAGTCATATTGAACGGCGTTATGCCATGCCAGGCGCGCACACAAAACGCCCGCGCGAGTGCGCATGCATATACTCACCCGGGTAACACACATTCGTGCGACTCTACATAGCCTGCACTGTCGTTCTATGTCATAGGAGGGAGTGCACACACATATGTACATGTAGATTGCCTAATTTTGCATACGTAATAAAATTGTGTAAGTATACACACATGTGCGTGCACATATAGATAGACTCAGCGGCATACGCACGAGTGTGTGCCGATAGGGCCACATGCCAATTATCGGATTAGTCTGTGAAAGTTGCACGGCACGGCAAACTTTCGAACAGTCTAAAGATATGACACAATGAATGTGGAATACCCACCAGTGTGTAAGACCATTTCATACCTATTTCGCAGTGTTTGTGATTTTCGGAACGTCCCTGTTGATATTTGATGTCCTCACTTGGTTGATGACACAGTCACAAATTATCAAATTCACCTCCAATGCCATCCAGTCTGCGTTCCGCGATACATGTACAGTGAACGGTGTTGAGGAAAGCCATGCAGCAATAAAACAGTCGAGACTCCCAAGCAGAGTGTAATACGCGACCGAGTGACAAGGCAAAACTGGTTCAGTCTCTCCGGCAAAACACAGGTAGTATTCTCAGGGAACAATATTGCACACACGGAACGACAAACGTAGGTGACACAGAATTACTTATAGTATATTGAAAGACTCAATAAGTGAAGGGAAGACGACAGAAACAACGGAGGCAAGGACTCTGCAACAACTGAGCTGGGCAACTGACACACGGATCTATATATATGGTACGAGATTGCCAGTTACAGCTCCGAGCGCTAGCTAGCGAATGAAAGCAAGGGATCTGATGGTGTCAGCAATGCATAGTGCAATACATAGTAATACATAGTGATTTGTGTAGGGGGAAGTCCGTCTACTACGCTACATAGTAATACATAGTGATTTGTGTAGGGGGAAGTCCGTCTACTACACTGCTCCCCCCTCAAATAATTTTCCGTCCTCGGAAAACAAACAAGAACATAATACAGAATTAACGTAGACCTAAACGAGGCTCAAGCAGCAAAAGACATCAGCAAGAAAAAGAAAATCATACACAAGCACACAATGGAAACAGAGTGGAGCAGAAAGGCAAGGCAAGTGCGAGTTTGGAACTCATTGTGGGAACACATAGTTGTTCCTGTAACGAACAGGAAGACCGGCGTTGCGGTGCAGATGGGCACGCGGACCAGGTGCTGGTGGTGCTGGCTGCAGCAAAACCGGCGGCGGAGGAGGAACAGGTTGGGGTGGGGCATCATCAGCATCAGGCCAGGAGAATAGCGGAACAGGCGGCGGACATGGAGAAGTAGGAGCCAGTGGCGCTTCAGACAGCGGGACATCTGGGCCGGACTGAGAGACTGACGACTTGGCGTTTGAGCGGGCGTGTAGCTTGAGGCGGTTGAAATGTACACGCTTACTGGTGCTGGAGGGTTCGTTGATCAATTGAATGTCGTATGACGTTGGCGGCGACACATGGACAATCCGGTATGGTCCGGTCCACGGTGGCTGGAGTTTGCGACGCATTCCAGGTTCAAGGAGCCACACACTATCACC